GAAAAACGCGGGAAAATCGAAGGTGAACGTATTTACGACACGTTCACGAACGACTGTGACTTTCGTTCGAAGCGTTGCTGCTACGTTCTAAAACTAAAAGAAGAGAAATAATTTACGCGATGGACAGAGTGAAAGAGTGTGAGAGAGAATACTTGGTTTGCGCATGCGAATGGTGGACACACAACGCGAGTGCAAACAGAAAAGAAAAGAAAAGAAAAAAGTAAGAGAAGAGAGAGAGAGAGAGAGTTACATTCGGTGTTAATAAGTGGGGGAGAAAAGTTGGGCCATACCCGGTAGAATCGGTAGAAACAGTCGAGTGGTTGCTTTGCGTAGAATGAGTGGAAATATTGCTGGTCGTCGATTGTGGGGATTTAATATCCGTGCCCACATACACGGGTATCCTCGAGCGGCTAAACCATCACCATCCAATTAATCAGTTTATTTATAATCGGCTCGAATCGTGCGCGTCTCTTATTTCGTATAATAAATATAATAACCGATATTCTTAATTTCTTTTTTGCGCGAAAAAGAAAAAAAAAGGAAACGAAAGGAGAAAGAACAAAAATGAGAAAATTAATTCACCTCCACCATTGCCGCGAGCATTGACCGAAATCAGGTGTTTCCCAACTCCTTTTAACCCTTTCGGCCATGGCATCCTCATATAAGGACATATTGAATAAATATGCTTGGTGTATTTAAATAAATAGGTAGATTTTGGAAATCATTTGACAGGTGTAAGAGACTAGGTTGCAAAGGAAAAACCAAATTTTTTTATGCAAAATGTAACATATAAATGTTATCATTTATATGTTGACAGAAACAAAAATTGTTTTTTTGATTATTATATCGTCTTCAAAAGTTCAATAACTTACTTTACATAGAGTCAATAACTAAATTTTTATAATGTGCATATATAATTTGTGTATTTTGGTGAAATAAAATCTTTTTGAGTACTTTGAATTTTCAACTTGTACTGCACCCACTTGAACGTAATGTTCTCACTTGGAGACACATTACACCCTTCATTATTACCCCTCCACGGAGATATTTTATCCAATTGAAAAATCATAATTTAATTGAAAGAACTGTTTAACAAAGTCATGATTCTTTTTTTCCAGGATTAAACAATTCGTGACCGAAAGGGTTAAAAGAGTTTGCGAAGCGAATTTGGAAGAATGATGGTTAGATGATGGACCACCTTGGCGTGAATACCGCGAACGAAAAGCTAAAGCCAGATCCCCGCCAATTTTACCCCGTCAATTTCGATAATTCGTTAATTCAGTTTACCTGATCGGTGTGCCGACACCAGTCAGGGTTGGAATGCTCGAAGCTCTATGGATTGTGCCAAACCTAAAAAAATGTTATTAACCAAATTTATGTTAATCGTCGTTATTGACCGACACGTGAGAACCAGATGGTTAATCAGGCGTGGTTCTAAAATTCTAAGGAGAGAGAAAAAAAAAAAATCTTCCTCGCGAATTTCGAGTAAAAAGAAGAAGAAAATAAAAAAAAAAAGATAAAGAAACAAAAAAAGAAAAAGAAAATACAAAGGATCAAATCAAAAATGCCGGGGAAATAAGAAATATTTCATCTCTTGCACACGACAATCGTCGATCCATTCCAAGATCATCGGGAAAATTACGAAAATGCATGTTCAAGGATACGTACGATCGTAAGTTGATGCTCGGTCTATATCTATATCTATATCGAACCGACGATGCGGCAAAAAACTCGTCTCAATTTTTTATCAACAAGATGCGAGTTAGTCGTACGCAGATAATCATCTCAATAAAAATTTCTCTTTTTCTCATCTCGGGTAATAGCACACCGAAAGTGCGGCTATTAAAATTAAGGCTACGTTACCTGGATGGAACACCACTTGCGGGGCTAACAAGCCCTGTGGGTGTTCGAGGCCGCGAACTCGACCCGTTCACAGGCGTTCCAAGTCGTTTCCCTGAAACGCTGTTGTGCCTGCTCGATGTCGGTGTGTTTCCCGTCGTGCTCACCGCCGTTCTTCGCGGAATACGGCTCACGTTCGTTGACTCGTCTTTGAAAAAAAAAAAGAAAAACATATAAAAATAATTCGTGATTTTTTTTTTTTTTGATCGGTCGAGATGATTTAACTTAATCCTTGGCCTTTCGATTCAAGTGCCATAAACAAGAAGAATGTCGGTCGAACCATTTCACGGTTTAGAATATAATTATATTGTATATTATATTATATTATATTATACATATATGTATGATAATAAAATATAGGATGGCGACTTACAAGTGCAAAGGGTTTAATATCTTACGTATCAAATTTTTTTCTATTAATTCTCTATAAATGTAAATTTATTAATATAATAATATAAATCGCCGCATCGATCCAAGCGGATCAAATGGATCAAATTTCGCCGTTCGTTCGAACGCTTACCGGTGCTGTCCAACGACTGAGTGGATCCATAGCGACTCGGTGGTTTGCTTCCTTGTCGAGATGCCGGCCTACTTCCGGGCCTGCTGGTCGGTCTGGACGCCGGTCTCGAGGCCGGTCTCGAGGATGGTCGGCTACCTCCTAATAAACAAATTTTCCAATCGTGTTCAGGAACCATTATTTTTTAATCCTTTTGAATGAGTCTGACTCGTGAATTGAAAAACGTAAACATTATGAAGTGTAAAGTAGCTTTACATTTACCAAAATGTTTTTGGAAATATCATACTGTGCCTACTGATTCAAGGTGAGCATTCCTTATAATTAAATTTTTATAATATACTATTTATTTTTAAGCGTAGTATTGTTACATTCCTTAGAACAAAGGCACACTCGAATACTGTAATTTCTATCAAAATATTGTTACTTTTTGAAACAGTTACTTGTCGTTTATTAAAAAATAATAGATTTATAATATATAAAAGCAAAAAACGAATTATTGTTTACAAGAGCAGTATCGCGTAAAACAAACAACATTTATTTCTATATTTCGACTCGTATTGCAACTTTGTTTTCGAGCATCACTCTGATCTGTTTACCAAGTTGACCTCTACCGCTGGTCTCGAATTTCGTCGAGCTAAATGGCAAGGGGAGGGGTTAAAATTATCGACCAAAACGTTGCTTACCAGGTGTCATTGTGCTTCTGTACGGTGTGCTCGATTTCCTCGCCGAGGCAATTTTGAAGGAACTCTCGTTGTCGCTCAGGCTGTCCGGTGTTCCAGCGCTGAGCGAGGAGCGGGACGCTCGCGATTGTCCCATTGGAACGCTTCGCGCGCTTCGTTCCCTTACCTACGCGACAAAAAATCGAGCTCGGGTAAACGAACACACAGGATGATGCGTTCTACTTGAGAGGAGGCAGAGTAGTGACGCAAACGGACAGATAGAGAGAGAAAGAGAGAGAGATAGAAAGAGTGATGTTGGTTGAAACGTTGAGGTCGCGTCGAGTCGCGAGGCGGAAGGAATGGCGAACTCTTTGCGCGCTCGAGAGCAGACTTTTAACTCGTGGTTCGAATAATTGTACGTTAATTAATTGAGAAAATTCATTTTCGAATGTGTATAGGAGACAATTGTTTCGATCGTGATGTTTAAATTAATTTTTCTTTTTTTAAAGAGTTTTACAAATTAAACAAAATATAATGGTAGAGAAGTGATCGGTCAGGTTTTTTATCGGTAGAAATATTCTGCGAATATACTTTAAAAAGCGTTTAAATTTCAATTTTGTAAAATCTCGAGAATATTATATTTATTTTTATTTTAATTTAAATCGTTTTTAATTTAAAAGTTGAACAATTACTTTATATTAGAAACGCTCCACATCGTTCTACGATAAGAAAAAGTAGAAACTTTTTACTTTTCTTTTCATCTCGCCATATTTGATTCGCAAAACTGCAAAAAATATATTGAAATTAATTTTAATCAAACGCTCGCCACTTAATGGATACTTTGATCTAGCCATCGATATTTATGGATTAATTTTAAGCTATCTTATATTATATGCATTTCCATCGTTGTTCAATTAATTATATTTTAAAGAAATAAGCAATAATAATAATATTACTAGCTGGCAATTTTTCTATTCCTTTCAATCTCTGAACGGCCGATTTTCTTTAACAAGTATTTTTTCCCTATCATCCGTTTCTCATAATTTCGTCCAATTTGCTTCCATTATTCGAACCACTATGCGGCACTACTCGAACGATTCATTGCTGGATTTCCGTGATCTCCGGATCGATAAGAGCGCAGTATTGATTCGCGAATACGTTCTTCATTTCTTTATCTCCAATTACAAACTCATCACGAAATTATCGTCGAGCGCAGAGTTAATTAAAAAAAAAAAAAGAATCGATCCTTCAGCGTCGCGTATCCCTTAGAATAATTCTTTTTCCTTTTCTTCATTTCGGTCGTCCGTTTACAACCTTTCAACGCCACCGAATTTCTCGTTTCGAATTTTCAGAAACCGATCGATCTGTCGAAGGAAAAAGTGTGAAACAGAGAGAAAGACAGAGAAAGAGAGAGAGAAAGAGAAGAAAGAAAGGAAAAAAAAAGAATCACGGATGACAGATTGCTCGACATTCGGAAGAGAATAAAATATTCTCACAACCTTGTCTTATTAAATGGAGTGAAGAAAAGAGAGAGAGAGAGAGAGAGAGACGCATGCAAACTTACCAGAGGAAGTTGGGACAGATAGAGTAGCTTATGGTGATTCGAAGTATCTCCGATCAACGCCACTATTGCACGCACCAATACAGCAATACAGGAGAGATCGTTATGCACAATATCGAGTAGTTTTTTTTCTTTACATTTCACCCGTACACTGTCCGCGAATCCGCAAAAAAAAGAAAACTATCTACATATATATATACTTCAACGTTCGGCACTCCCGACCCCTTCTCGATCCGGGGGTCAACAACGAATCGAGCATTAAATAACATTAAATAAATCGTCGATCATTCGCAAAGAAAGGAATCATGCCGATCGACTCGGCATGCAAAATCGTATACGATACAAAAATTTCCAGAAGGAATTTCCACGTCGAACAAGTCGAGGATACCGATCGTTGCTCGTCCTTCGATAGAGGGGGTGGGGGGGGGATGGGAGAATTATTCGAGAGGCATCCTATGCGTAAGATAAATTAAATTCGAGAAGTGACGAATTTGAACAGGCGAGTGGACGAGCGCGTGGATGAAACGAGAAACAAAAGAGAGAAAGAGAGAGAGAGAGAAAAGAGATCGAAACCCCCCCCCCTCCCCCCGTGCGAATTATTCGAATCGAACGAAAAATTATATCTCATCTCACCGCGTTCGAGGAGAGACGCGGTGGGCATGCGCACATGTCTTTTCACGTGTATTCTCACGAGCAACGCGCGCTTATACGAGAAAAACTAAAACTACACGAAAAATTCTAACGCATGCACGGATGATTTCTCCGATTTATAAAGCTTTGATGGAATGAGCCGAGGGAGGGGAGGGGGGCGATAATCGTCGCGATAATCGAATCGTGTGTCGTCGGCGACAGCAGGCATAGCGCAAAACTCGAAGAGAGAGAAAAGAAAACGATGGTACGAGATGTACGGGCGTCGAGATCGTGAACAACGTTTCCATTGGTCGTGATACGATGCAAAGGGAGGGGGTACACACGTGACAAGCGCACAACTCGAGAGAGAGAGAGAGAGAGAGAGAGAGAGAGAGAGAAGAGAGAATCACCAATTACTAAGAAAGAACTAA